TCTCTCTCTCTCTGTGTGTGTGTGTGTGTGTGTGTGTGTGTGTGTGTGTGTGTGTGTCTGTGTGTGGGCCAAGGTTACTTCCTCCCTTACGCGCAACTTTGGCGAAATAGATCGCAATGTAAGTAAGGAAAAGGAGAATGCAATTGCTGATCGTCTATGCGGCTCTAACGGTTGACCGTCAGAAGTTAGAGTACTCAGACCCAAAAAACTCAAAAATAGGCAAATATATGCCAATAGCCTATAGAGAAAAAAGAAAGACCTTCCGGAGGGACTACTGCAGGGTCTTTTGTATCGCGAAGTTTTCTACAACTCCATCGATAGCCCTCCTTGGGCTCTATACAGCTCCATATTTGTCCTTTTTTTTTTTTTTTTTTTTTATGAAACAACCCGGGTGAATGCTAGGGGCGCTGGTAAGAGCAGACGCCTCTAGCACGCCCGGGGAGGCTCCATCTATTGGGGGGGAGCAACACCTGCTGGAAAACGGGTCCAGCGTCCCTATGAACACTCAAAATCATGTAAACGTGCCACGTGTCCATCCTACTGTAAACAAAAGAGCTAATGCACCGACACGCAGGCACGCAACGTTGTCCTAATGAGCAGCGACGATTGCTCTCAACCGAGGAATCGGCTGCCCATCACGTCATAGGATCATACCCCTACTCAGCAGTCCTCACCGTGTAATCAAATCTTCCAGCACCATGGGGAGGGGAGGGGACAATCCAAATAGGGAAACCATCGCTAAAAACCCTCAATAGGGAAGCTATCGAAAAAACACTCACGTGACAGGGCCATGACACCCCCACTGCCCCGCCTTGTCTGCCACGTGGCGAATCCTAGTGTTTATACCACGGGGATATGACCCCCCGGGTGGCCTAGTAAAATTGAAATCATATGGTCATGCCACGTGGCAACCCCGATGTGAACTAAGAAATTTGTCCGAGCGGCAGCACAGGCACATACCCTAAACTCACATCCGCAGAGCCATGACACCCCCAGTGCACCGCCTTGCCTGCCACGTAGCGAATCCCAGTGTCTATACACATATGTTTAATGAAGTGAACAGCATTGATTACCCTCAATAGAGGGGATTGACTGCCCACCCAAGCATGAAATCACACCCCACCCTGAAATACTCATGTACCACCCAAAGAGCATTCAGTACCATGAGCAGAAGAGACAGTCAGAGCAGGCCTCCCTAACAGCCAAATCCTAATATCCAAGCGGCGGGGCCCAAATGAATTACACACGAAAAAATTCTGTAGCGCCGCTTCCTGCGGCACTTCCTTCCCCGCCACCCACCCTCCCCCCGGGTCGTCAACATGATTGCAATGAAGAAAGGACACCGGGGGAGAGAAGGGAACAGATGCGGCTAGACAATCCAATATCTATCCTACCCCCTCGCGCACCCCTCCCCCCCCCCCATCCAATATGCTGAACGAAGTATTCAAACAGCCCTCTCGCCCTCCCACCGGTTCGTCAACCCGATCGCAAAAGAGAAGGGACACTGGGGCGGAGGAGGGGACGGGAGAGAAAACGCAAACCCCCATCACACTTACCCAACCATCTCCAGCGCTGCATACACATCCTGCCCCTCCTCGAAGATGTCGTAGCAACACCGCTTCAGAGCCGCGTCCTGATGACCATCTATAAGACCATCCCATTGGAAAGCTGGCCCCTCCTCCAACTCCCGGATGACCTGCAACATGTTCCTCATCCCTTCCTGAAACGGCGGGTCCGATGAAGCTGCCCCSCCACCAACCTCAAATCGAGCTCCCAATTGTGATCACAGTGCATCAACCATCACCTGTAAACGACATCGAATAGATGAGAGCCAGTCGGCAGCACCACGCTGACCATCTCCCATTGAAGCCATCCGCACGTTTGAACCGCCTCGAAGTCCGCGCCGACAAACTCCCACGCTTCCCTGCCAATCCCACATCTGATGGGGCTGCCACGTCAGCGTCGCCGCGAACGTGGGGCAAGACGCGTGGCTCAAACCGCCCTCCGTTAGCCTACGTGGGCGCCCGATCGCGTGGAAGGCAGCCGGGCCCTGCCGGCTGCGACCACGCAGAGTGTTAACGCTCCAAGAGAGGCTACTTTCATCTGTAGTATCTCGGTGACGCTACATTCAGGGAGTTGTACAGGGAAGAGGCAAAATGACTTTTTCTCTTCTTTTTTTGTTCTTTTCAAGGTGACCAGTGCCCAAGGCTTAAATTTGATTATAAAAAGTGATAGAAAAAAAGATGATACCGAGGCCCTTACCCAGCTTCGGCTTAAGGTCGGCAATTTGGCAACCGGGAAAACGGGTCCATCGTCTCATTCTACCAAGAACGTCAGTCAATCAAGGCCATGAAACTATGATGATAACAGTGATATTCAATCACTGACGTCCGTGGCGTGGACCCCATTTCGCTGAATATCCTTTCTCACCTCCACAAGAGGTGAGTTTGTGAGAGGCAACTAGTTTCTCCACGAACTTTCCAAATCACATGGGGAGGACGCATCCGATCCACTGTAAGATAGCAGGTTCCCTGTCAAGCAGACTGGATGTCGGGGGGGGTGCAATCTGCCATACTATCACCAAAACACAGGCAGCTGTAAATTGAGCTCGAAACTCGGTTATCTTTGGTCGCAGTGAGCTGAGCCTCAACTTTGAGCTGAGCCTCAACTTGTTAGACACAATGAAGGACGGAAGCTGGGGCTGGTCTTCCAGCTTGAACCATTGCTGTTTATCCGAAACTGGGTAATGGCCTCCGCAATCTTGAGAGAAAGGTTTTTCATGGGATGCTCAGCCCAGGTCCCAACACGCTCCCCCCCCCCTACGCCTGAAATAGACGATTTTTCTGTTTGTTTGTTTTTGGGTGGGGATAATATGGCTCACCAAAAGGGGACTGTGGTTGGCAAGGTTCTGTACAAGTGGGCCGGACTGGTCCTCCCCCCCCAGAATATAAAGGGGTTGTCTCCATACTTGCGGCGCACCAGCACTGTGCGCTGTGCGCGGACCCGAGGGGCGCGCAGTGCGCGCTGCGCACGTCTGGTGTGCTGCGCGCGTGTGCGCAATGTATATTTCCATGTTCTAGCGGTAGATTCATTCGATAGCACACTGTACATTTCCATGTTCTAGCGGTAGATTCATTCAATTTTGCTCATCCTATTGATGGAAGTACCAGGAGGCCAGCTGCGAGGTTGGAGACTTACCTGCTCTCTCTCTCTCTCTCTCTCTCTCTCTCTCTCTCTC